TAAAATGCGTGGCGCAAAGGTTTTTAAGTCGTATGTCTGTGTGTTCGTCTGTACAACTACTAAGGCGATTCATCTTGAACTTACTCAGGAGCTATCTACAGACAGTTTTGTAGCAGCTTTTCGACGCTTTGTAGCGAGAAGAGGTAATAATTATATAGTTCATACCAAATAAACTTACAGTCGGGTTGTCAAGCTCGGCCGGCACAGCGTTGCCGTCTCTTGCATATTTTCCTTTTGTCAAAATATTTTCAGAAACAATAATGGATTATATTATAATATAATGCAAAAATTTATAACTTAAATTTTAAACAATGTTTCAAAGCTGAGTTTAATAGATATTTAATGACAACCCATTTGTCTTGTCAATTATTCCTTCTGCATGTCTGATAGAATTTTTCCACATTTTAGGGGTAACAGTTCCCAGTGCCTCTCGCCACATTTTTAAACAAGCATCTTGAGTATAACCATCTCTGCCAATATGTTGGTTATAATAGTTTTTTTGCAATTCCCCAGATAAGTTCAATCGGGTTAAAGGTACAGTGGTATGGAGGTAGTCCTAAAACTTTATGTCCATACTGTTCTGCTAAGTCATCTACCACATACTTTTTTGTTGGTTTATTCCTGAAAAAAGCAATACTTGAGAAGTTGAGCATAAAATGCAAACAATTTTGGTATTGTAGGTACTTACTTACCGTGCAACAATGGTCACAAGTTCAGATTTTAATGCTGTATTTGGATACTCAACTTTCTGTTCGGTTAACCAATTTTGAATTTCAGCCTTGGTAAACGAACTATTAGGTGTCTTCGTTAATAACATTCTGTGGTAAGGCGCATTGTTTATAACAATGACAGATGGTTCACGGTTCACTCCTCAAGTTCTTCAACAGCCGATTTTCGAATCAACGTCAAAAGTTTGGCTGATTCATTTCTCCATGATAGTCGTTAAGTTGAGTTTTCGATGAAAATACGAGCGATGCACCTTCAATGAATCCATTTTCAGTGCTAGCATGAAGTATGATATATCTAAAAAAAGCATTTCTTTGTACATATAATACAACTGCTCTCTGTATTCATGTTTATATTCACCTTTCACCATCAACTTTGGTAGTTTTAACTCTTCGCTTGTTGTTGTCTTGCCACGAGCGGTTAAAAGTACCATTTTAAAAAATCCAAGTCTTGTCCAAGAAAACAAACTGGTACAAAGCCTCCTGTTTCAGTCTTAGACAAGACCTCAAAAATGATATGCGTTTAACAACAATATCAGGAAGTTCCATGAGCCCTCGTCTTGGGTCATATTTTTTCCATTTGAAGCCTATTTCATTTAATATTCTACTCAATTACATGGGACTGCCATCAAATAATTGTTTGGCTTTCAATTGCTCCCATATACAGGATAATGTTACATGTTGTCCTACAAGAAGAAAGAATGGGATTCATAGATATCTATGTACAGTCGGAATCATTGCAATAGGCTCCTTGCATCAAATTTTTTTATTGCGGATTTTGATAGTCCATGAAAAATTAGTCAACACGTGTTTTTTCTTTTTCTTGTGAGTCAAAAATTGACGGAGATACAACGCTTTGAAATGTCCTTCCGACGTCATAACTTAGGTATAATACGTTGTGAGTTGTGACGTCGCACATGCTCAGTATATCTATATATATAAAACTCAATATTTGTTATAACTTCCGAAATAATCATATTTGGACAAAAAAGAAAAACACGCATCGATTTTTTTTCGATTTCCTACAGTTTGCAATAAACAATAATCAATTTAATTTTTCATGCAAGTACCCTGTTAGCACACACTCTTTAAAATCCCTCGTATTAAGTCAAAATTCTAACCAATAAATCTATTTAGAGCAGCATTTTGCTATTACTGTGTGTCAGATTTGACACATTACGAGGGATATTTACATAGTGTGTGCCAATTGCAATGATTTCCACTGTGCCTTTGTCTCAAGCGATTTACTTTTTGTATATATAACGTAACTAGTGTTACGTATAGCACTGCTATCGAACTTTGAAACATCACAGACTCTCTTCGAAGTACATCGTTTCTCAGAAGGCGATTCCAAAACTTCGTTATTTTTGACTGCCTTTGAAATAGCACAGACACTGGACATACCTACTTAAGTTCAACGCCTTTGCTACGCGCTAAAAATGAGAGAAAATAAAGTTCAAATTGAGAATTCTTAGTTGGTCCTTGGTCCACGAAATAAACTCACCTTCCTAACAGCATTTAAGGGACATAAAGGGCCGCGTTCTCGTTCGGAATATTGGCCGAGTTCGTTTTTGTCATCTTTTTCGTCGATTTGCTCCGAAATTTTGACAGGCACGTGATTGGACAAGAAGGTTTCAATTTACAAATCATGTGTCTGTCAAAATTTCGGAGCAAATCGACGAAAAAGATAACAAAAACGAACTCGACCATTGTAACAAGGATGCGAATAGTTCTTTGCAACGGCTGTTAAGCTGCTTCGGCATCTTGTACACTTCGCACTACAAGCTGCTTTTAAAAAACAAGCTCACAAATAATAGCACAAACCAAAATCTCGTAAACTGCCAGAACGCAATCAAAATTCAAAATGTCAAGAATTTAATTTGGCAACGTTACATTTTTTGAAGTGGTGTTACCAACTGGATGGCCAGCGGGAAATTCAAATTCCAATTAAATCAATCCTACGCCGAATATTTTCACGGTTGGCGATAACGATTTTAAAAATGGCGTCATCGATGTCACAACAACAAGTTTATTTGGTATGAACTTATAGTTGCGTGCTATACCGTCATTGCAACCAATTTCGTTGGAGCTAATAACCTACTTTCCGAGTATGCGCAGCAAACATGCGAAAAACTTACTGTGCGATGGCATTTCAGCCCTCCTTCAGGACCCCATTTTAATGGGTTAGCTGAGGCAGGGGTAAAAATGGTGAAAACCCACTTATTACGTGTCGTAGGCGATCAACGCCTAACTTTCGAAATATTTTCAACCCTATTGTGTCAAATAGAGAGCTCGCTTAATTCTCGCCCGTTGTGCGCCCAAAGTACCGATCCGAAGGATCTCATTCCCCTTACTCCAGGACATTTCTTGACTCTGGAATCTCTGAATTCGGTAGTACCAGAGGTTGATATTTCCAAAATTAATATTAATAGGCTGTCACGATGGCAACTCATTAGCCGTTTACATAACGACTTTTATGTCCGATTGACCAATAAAGTGCTGTTTATAGAACAGTTTTGCGTCAATAAAGTAGCACTTTATTGTACTAGTACAATAAAGTGCTAATTTATTTTACTAGTAAAATAAAGTGCTACTTTATTGCCTACCTGGACTACCTGACAAGTTGAAACAGGTCCTGACAACCTGCCAAGGTGAAACAGGTCCTGACAACCTGCCAAGGTGAAACAGGTATACCTACGTAAATTTTACTTTTTTCATTAATTTTTTTAAATTTTTAACAAAAACCAGTCGTAATCGTACATAAAATCATGTATATAACGCTTACATAAACTGGCTTTATTGACTCATTATTTAATAGCCTCGCTCGCAAGCTCGCTCGGCCATAAAATTATTCATACAATAAAGCCTTACTTTATGTACAGGGTATTTGATTATATTTAGCACCATACCTACAGCCTTTTTTATTTAAGATAGAAAAAAAATTTAAATACAAAACTTGACAGTTTTTTTCTATATTTTTATTTAACGGTATCAGAAAAAACAAAATCGCATCGGAAAATGGAGAAACGTAGACAACTTCGACTTTTTTTAATGGAACACCCTGTATATTTTGCCATAAAATGAAAGATTTTTTGTTCCTGATTCCAAATATATATATATTTATCACATTTGAGTCAGTAGTTTTTGCCATATTTTAGCTTAAATTATAGATAATTTGCACAGAAATTTCATAAGGATGTCAAGACATTCAAATATTTCAAAAATTTCTTTGGATTTTATTTATAATTTAAGCTAAGATATATCAAAAACGGCTCATCCAAAGGTCATCAATATATACAGGGTGTATATTTTAAGTGATACCACTATTGCTATATCCGAAACGGTAAGAGCTACGAGCTACAGCCTACAGGGTCGGTTAAATTAGAAAAAAGTTGCCTTATTTGATGCCCATTTAAGACTCGTTTACAGAGTTGCCAAATTCCTTTTAGTTTATGAAATACAGGGTAATTTCTAAGAAACGTCCAAAAATATTTCATCATTTATTTCGAAAACTATTGATTTTCGAGACACAATTTAAATTTGAAAGTTTTATAATTTTTTTCGCTCATGTTGTAGAGCATGTCATCTTCAAATTTCAAATCCGATGTTTCGTGATCGAAATACCATCATCAACATCATTTTTTTAAATACGGACCTGAATTTTTTATGTCATTTTTAGGAAGTGCCCTTAATTCTCTTTCCAAAAATGACATAAAAAATACAGGTCCGTATTTTAAAAAAATAAGTTGATGATCGTAGCTCGATCACGAAACGTCGGATTTAAAATTTGAAGATGCCATGTTGTAGAGCGAAAAAAATTATAAAACTTTCAAATTTAAATTGTGTCTCGAATATCAATAGTTTTCAAAATAATTGATGAAATAATTTTCGGCCTTTTTTATAAATCGCCCTGTATTTCATAAACTAAAAGGACTTTGGCAACACTGTAAATAAGTCTTGAATGAGCATCAAAAAAGGCAACTTTTTTCTAATTTAACCGACCTTGTAGCTCTTACCGTTTCGGATATAGCCACAGTGGTATCACTTAAAATATACACGCTGTATATATTTGGAATCAGGAAGAAAAGATCTTTCATTTTATCGCAAAATATACAGGGTGTTCCATTAAAAAAAGTTGAAGTTTTCTACGTTTCTCCCTTTTCCGATGTGATTTTGTTTTTTCTGATACCGTTAAATAAAAATATAGAAAAAAACTGTCAAGATTTGTATTTAAATTTTTTTTCTATTTTAAATAATAAAGGCTGTAGGTATGGTGCCAAATATAATCAAATACCCTGTACTTGTTATATAAATAACTATTGTAAACGTTATTTCAAAGAGTATGTCAATACGTTACAGCAACGGCAAAAGTGCTGAAGTTCTGAAGTTAAATTGAACGATTTCGTTCTCATTAGTAAAGATAATGTTCCACCGCTGAAATGGCCGTTGGGTAGAATTGTTGAGCTGCAGCCTGGAAACGACAACCAAGTACGTGTTTCTAGTATTAAAACAGCGATTGGGCAATATAAAAGGCCAGTTATCAAACTGTGCTCTCTCCCTTCGACTGATTAAATAAATTTAATTATTGTTTACAAAAATTAAATGTAGAAATGTATATTTTTTTTTTTTTTTTCTTCTTTTCTTTTTGGGTATGTTTACGAAAGTTATATTTGGTAACAGATACTATTACCAGTATTTTGATATAGTATGTTCAATTTTCATTATTTTTTATTTTATTTTTAGTTTTTTTTATCTTCTCTTTCTTTTTTACGTTATGCTAGTTAAAACACAGGTGTTTTGGCCGGCGGCAAATGTTAACGCAACATTATTTATAAATTTGGTTTCTTCTCATCCTTATTAAAGAATTACTTAAATGTCAATTTCGCGTAAAACACACAGGAGTGTATTTTCTACGACCCTGCGCTGAATGAGGCAGACAGCGGTTGAAGATTTGGACACACTAGATAAATGATGCTTCATATGGACGTTGCAGTTTTTTCCGGTTCTGTGTTTTAAGATCGAAAAGTCTACGTCTTGTGCCGTTAAAAAGGGACCTTGAATGCCTTAAGTCGATGCTGATACGTTGGTGGTTGGGAGGATCTCCGTATATATGTTACTGTAAATGCCCGAAATTCGGTAAAACCTAGGATAAGCGCGCTAAACCTAGGATTAACCAAAAGCAAGTGGTAAAAGCCCGAAAACTAGTTATTTTGCTTTCATTTCGGACTTTTACCGGACACGAACAGTAAATCTTAAGATTTACCACACCGCATTGGTAAAAGTACGAATACCACTGATACCTATCTACGTTACAGAAATCGATATCGTAAATCGATAATCGTTAAAATTTCAATGCCTAAAAATAAGATACTTTATAAATGACTCAAAATCACACCAAAATACTTTTTATTTTAATATTCTTGAATGTAAACAGAAATCATAGTTACATTAATTCAGGTACTAATATTGCAGAAAGTAGGCATAGTATTTCTAAACTCAATTGGAACAAGGTACCAACTGATAGCTGACTGGTCACTGAAAATTTCCATAAGAAATGCACTGCCACTAGTCAGCCACCAGTTATGATTTCTGTTTACCTTGTTCCAATTGACTTTGGAAAATTGAGTATGGTTTTTCCAAAGTCAATTGGAACAAGGTATATTATAATATGAAATAAAAAATTTTTAAAAATAAATAAAAAATACAGGGCAAACTTCCATGGTATTGAAAATTGCAGAGTAATTTAGAGGATCTGCACAAACATCTTTTGGTGGAACATTTTCGAATGCAATTGCATTTCTTAAATCCTTGGCCACTACATAACGACAATTTTCGCACTGCACTTCTTACCCTAATTTCCTGAGATGGAACATCTCCAAGACAGAAATTTTCTTGACGGTTATCGTTTCACGATATCGATTTCTGTACGTATCATAGAGGAGCGTTCTGGAAGCCGTATCTCGTCGTTTTTTTTTTTCGGCGTAGAACCAAATCAAACCTAGTAGGTTTTGTTAAGCATGTCACGGGGCATACGAAATCTAAAGTGCAGACATTTTCCCGTGGTCTCGAACTTTTTTATGACAAAAAAAGTAAAAAAAATATATTTTTAATAAAATGTGTTTTTCTTTGTTTCCACCGTCATATCTTCAAAACCAATCAAGTTATCGAAGTAATTTTTTTTTAAAATTAAAGTACACACTTAGGCGCTTTTAATAGTGCCTTCGTTCCTCACGAAGTTTTCCCCTTTATTTTTTTAAAAATCGGAACATCCAGGAATTACAATTTCAGGTCTTACAATTTTCACCAATCGACAAACTTTTTTATTTTTGAAATTTTTTATATACATACAGCGAAGCAAATGATGTCAAAACATGACAAAAGTTTTTGAAATTATTAGTTTTTACCCAATATATATCGTTTGGCCACAGCGATTTTTTATTTGTGCGCTAAAATAATCTAACGCGAGCGAAACCCATCGCGAGACAGTATTATACCGCATTTACTCAGAGATAGGAGAGTATAATACTCATAAGACCTTATGACCACTTAGTAGGGTATCACATATTTTTAATTAAATTAAATAGAAGCGGAAATATGGATATAATACCTATAATTCCTAAAATATATTTAGATTTCAATAAAATGTGGCCCTAACTTTCGACATTAAAAACATTCCTGTTCATTTGAAGGGCTGTTGAATCTGTAGAATTTGCCGTTTAATTTTTTGAATTTGACCTCAGTGGTGTTCAAAAATGCCTATTCATTTTTAAACACACCTGCTTTACCTACAATTTTATTACAGCCCCGCCACCAATCAATTTGTTGACTGTTGAGGTGTTTTGGCGATTTCCACGAATATGCCTCTTTACGCAAATAACATGGGTGGCAAGTTTTGAAATGAGAGCCCTGTATAATGATTGTCGAACAAAATTAGGAATTGGCTTGTCATTGGAAAATATTGGAGTTCAAACCTCGTCAGATAAATTCCATACTGAACCGTCTGCATTTATAAGTGGTGTGGGCTTATTGCTACTGTACCATGTTTAAGTTCAACATAATACACCTGCAGGAAATTATAGAATATAGCTACTAATTATAGGAAATGAATTGTCTTATATCCTACTGAACTATTAGTAACCATATATATCTTGGTTACAATAATCATTAATAGAGTCTTAACTCTCGCGCGGTGGTTAATTATTTCATAACTCCCGCTTTTACCTTGGATGGTACAACTTTGAGAAAAAATTGAAATTATGGTTTATTCCTTTATAAAAATAAACAAAATACAGTAAATTCAGTAGGAAATAAAATTATCTATTCACCACGGAAATTATCAGGTGTTAATATCCATGGGCAATTGCTGTCCCTCGGGCCCACACACTTTGCCCTGGGGTATCAACCACCCTCATAATTCCCTTGATACAGCAATAACTATAAATCTATTTTTACCTTAAAAAGTGCTGATAAAAAGCGCGTTCGGTTGGAGAAAGCTCCGAGGATGGTTTGTTTGTAGTTGTTGCTAGTTTTATCCGCAGGTCATTTAGTTACTGTATTTGTTTGTCTTGGTTTTTGTAGAGTAGAAGAACCAATTTTTTAACGAATTCCTTAGAGCAGGTAAAGCGCACTCCTACAGACATAAGGAGTAGGAACACGCGATTTTGCTATGAAACTAAAGTGAAGCCAATTTTTAGCAGGTGTTTGTACACCAAACGACAGGTAAAGCATTGAATTAGCTATACCGCCATTATTTTGGATCTCAAAATACCTGAAAAAAAAAACGGTTACATTTTCCTATTCCATGTTCCTTCTCCTCCCACTTAGGAACTTACCTACTCTAAGGCGAATTCTAATGCTTTGTCATGTGACTGCAGTGACAATAATTATTCAGACATTTCTTGAAGAACGGCAATATTTTTTTTAGGAACATCGAAAGCAGAGTTTGAAATTGAATTTCGATGAGACAGCAACAATATTTTTCAATTTCTTAATCCCGCCAATAGCACAGTACTATGGATAGTAGTCAAGTTGTCTAGCCATGGCGCGAGAGTATGCGATACATTATTTTGGCGCGCAATTGAAAATTCGCTGTGGCCAAACGATATTATATTGGGTAAAAACTAATTATTTCAAAAACTTTTGTCATGTTTTGGCATCATTTGCTTCGCTGTATGTATATAAAAATTTTCAAAAATAAAAAAGTTTGTCGATTGGTGAAAATTGTAAGACCTGAAATTGTAATTCCTGGACTTTCCGATTTTGAAAAAAATAAAGGGGAAAACTTCGTGAGGAATGAAGGCACTATTGAAAGCGCTTAAGTGTGTACTTTAATTTAAAAAAAAAATTACTTCGATAACTTGATTGGTTTTGGAGATATGATGGTGGAAACAAAAAAAAACATATTTTATTAAAAATATATTTTTTTTACTTTTTTTGTCATAAAAAAGTCCGAGACCACGGGAAAATGTCTGCACTTTAGATTTCGTATGCCCAGTGACATACTTAACAAAACCTACCAGGTTTGATTTGGTTCTACGCCAATTTTTTTTTTCTCGAAAACTAAGCGACTTTCGGCCACAGATTTACTCGGCTAATCAGTGTCATTCGTACTTTTACCAATTCGGTGTGGTAAATCCTAAGATTTACTGTTTGTGTCCGGTAAAAGTCCGAAATGAAACCAAAATAACTAGTTTTCGGGCTTCTACCACTTGCTTTTGGTAAATCCTAGGTTTAGCGCGCTTATCCTAGGTTTTACCAAATTTCGGGCATTTACAGTAACATATACACACAACACACAGCTTATAAGAAAACCCAGGTGAGTGGAAATATCTTTTGTGTGTTTCGACAATCTCATGGTATCATTTTCATTTCTATTTCAATTTGTTTGCGCGATTTTCCAGTCGCATTCCAATTTACTAAATTTCAAATACTATTGCGTAAACACCCTGTATTTATCATTGTGTCTGATGCCTGTGTTAGCAGGACTAGGACTGTATCCTTTTATTTCGGGTTACAGTATTGATACATGTCATTGAATTTTTGTCTCGTGTCACATACCTTGTATTTGCTATTGTGTCTGATGCCTATATTAGCAGGACTGAGTAACAAATTCAGACAGCTGGTTGTGAGGTGTTTTTGGTATCTAAATGGTGATCACCACCATCAAGATTTTAGTGGTTGCCCACATGCTTTTGATTTGTTACACAATCATGTAGACAAATTTATAAATTTTTACATTCTTCACAATAATAATTAAACCGAATGCCACACAGTAAAGGTGCAGCAAGAGAACTGGGCCAAAATCACCCATTTTCCCATGTAAATCTCCATAAGAAAATTTCAGGTCCATTCTGGCACTTTTTGGACCATTTTGGAGTGGGGGTAAAATTTCCTCGAATAAGCCCCGCCCCCTTTCGAGCGCCCAGGTCTGCATCGACCGTTCGCACTACCTCAGCAGCCGCCGCCGAGGCAGCCGCACATACTTGCTACCTGATACTGATGATGCCGTAACTCTCGCTCTGTTGCTCTCATACCTTATACATACCTCTCTCTCTCACTCTCATATATAATCGACCCGCGCAGCTACAGCATCGCGAAATAGTAATTAACAAAAAGTCGGTAGCCGCTGAGAAC